AATCTCCTTTTGTTTTGTTGTGCCTCTTCCACACTGTTTGTGCTTTCTTAGAAGAAAAGTTTGTAAACCAGGATTTCATAGGATAGATATCAGAAGTAATTTTTTCCTCTCCTTGATGATTTGGCAAAACATAGTTAATTTTTAAAAATGATTCTAATATGTAAGTAATATACTTCTTTAGCTTCACTCAGAAAAAGGCCTCAGATAATATTTTAATTTATGTTCTGTTTACATTTATTCTATCTCTGTATTTTATACAAATACACTTTATCCACATTGAACTTCAATTATTTGGATAGTTTCAACAGGGAATAGTTTGTGTTGGAAGTCTTTCACTACTAATTAAAATTTGATATTACACAAATGTCTTTAATTCTTAAATTTAACTGGAAAGTAAATTTAGTGTGTACCTTTTATAAGGATATAATTTAGAATAAATCCAGTCATAAGATGTAAATATTTAATGATCAGCCCACAAGTTATTGATGTATTATTTTTGTTAAAAATATGAACATTATAAATTTGTTTTCTAACCTTAGATTATTTAAAGGCACATCTTAGTTTTGTGAAGACATAATAATTAAGGAAAAAGGAACTATAGATGTGAATATTTTCATCAGAAACCCTCATGAAACAGATAGCCACTTAGTGAAACTTTTTAATCTCAATTAAAGGAAGACCTTTTTTTAACCTGAAGCCAAATATTTATATATAGGCAGAAGAAAAGGATGGGGCAAGGAGAAGAGAGAATGTTTAAAAATTATTAAATTAGCCTCAAGAATCTGGGGTGCTAAACAATATAGTTTGTACATTTAGATAAGATTGATAATCTTAGGCTTCCCATGATGCTGTAATCATAGGTTCTCTAATGTTTTTCCCTGAATTTTGGTGTTCTTTCTTTGAGCTTTGCTATTGGGCTTAAGAGTTTTCCCTCTTAAGATCCCCAGACCTGAGCATTTTGTTTAGGATCACAAGATGTGTCACCAAGTCGGCAGTCCTTCAATATTCTGATTACTGTTTATGTTCATTGTGAAGTGCATTACTGCCAAACCTGTGTTCCTACTTCAAAGAAGTTTGGTTTGTAAAGCTGCTTTGGGACTCCAGTAGCGTGTGTGCGTGTGTGTGCACGTGTGTGTGTGTGTGTTTGTGTTTGGAAAAGCAAATATAAAACCATTGCTGTTTGACGTGCACTACAGAAATCACTGAAAGTATACTGATGATCTTTGTAGTGCAAATGCAGAAACCCAAGCAACCACTGTCTTGCTGCCTGTTAATCTGGCCATTTTCAACTACATCTCTGATTACAAAATCCACCTATAACTTAACTTTTTTAAACTCGATTGCCATGCCAACATTATAAATATGGTTTTTTAAATTTTTAGACACTTTAAGTAGTCTTTTTTTAAGTTCAAAATAACCACAACACTTAGTTTGTTGGTTTACGAACTAAGTTTGTTGGTTTAAGAACACGTTAAACTCTTATGTTATTAATATATTAATGAAATAAGAAATCATATTTTCTTAGTTTAATTAGTTAATAATTGACCTTATACCAGAAAGAATTTGAGACAGTTTGAATATTACAGTTTAATACACTTAAACAGATTACCTTTCCAATAAATAGATATAAACATATGCAATCTTTTGTTGTATTGGTTTTGTCCATGAAGTCTGATTGTCCCATTAACCTCTTAATCTATTTATGTTATAATTTGAAAATGCTTTGATATTTGATTTGATTTTGAACACATAATGACTGTGTTTTCAGTGTACTCAAATTACAAAAACATACTAAACCTCTAGGATGTCTTCTGTAATAAGCACAGTGTCATTACATATAAGCAGTATGACTCATAGAGATTCCTAGGTAAATTTACCTTCTGAACCTATGAACCAGTGTTTCCCAGAATGTGTTTTTAAAACTATTTCAGCAAGATACTACCCGGAAATAGGTGGAAGGAGAGATGCTATCTGTGATCAAATAATTATTATTTATTACAGAATTTTCAGGACCTTTTATATTCAAATTTGTAGATTTACGTAAATTTGAAAGAGGAGATTGAACAAAAACTTGCCTCCTTAACACGTTAACTTATTTTCCTTTTGTAGAGTGCAGCATTGGACATCAGAGTTGAAAGTTCAGGAAAATACATATTCCATTCCCCAACCAGATAGTGAACAACCCTTCTACTTGCATTGATTCCTCCAAATTGTTTTGTTCCTTGGGGGAAAAGAAACAATACTGAGTTTGGTTGAAACCAAAATAATGTTATTGAAAATATTATTTCTGGGTTATTTTCCTTAGAGAAAATGATTAACAAAGAAAAATCAGCTCGCTGGTGAAGAATCTCTCATGGTGGGTCTCTTTATGAATAGGATACTTTCCTCTCTGAGGATATTATTGTTTGTGTAGTGTTTTGTTTATGAGAATAGACTGATTAAAATGTAGAAAAAGAATGGAAGACTTCATATGAGCCAAATAATTTTGGAGAGAGGCCTGTCTGGTTACTGTTTGTCCTAAGGACTGGACTCCTAGGAGAAGTTAAAGTTACAAGTTAAAAGTATGTTTACTCAAGTTTGTTTATTGGATAGTCACTAAGGTGATCGCCTTAAGATTTCATTGGTTAAGATTCTAACAAAAAATTTTTCCAATGAAGGACCATCTATAGATGATGATTGAGTCTGGAGATGAGAGATGCATTTGAGATTAGAATTTAGTTGATAACATATTTAAATGGTTATATTACTCTCTCTATTTGCCTCTATGTTTACTTTTAGCAGATACACATTAATATTCTTCTTAGATCCCCCAGTGATTTGTTAAATATAAATGATGATCCATAAACTTGATTTTGCAAAATTTTTAAACCATTACTAAGGAGACATACTCTTTCTATAGCAGTATTATCAATATGCTGTAATGCAAGGGACAACTCTGCCCCTAGGCCAAATCCAGGCTGTTGCCTATTTTGTAAATACGATTTTATTAGACTACAGCCACACGTATTTGTGTATTCATTGTCTGTAGCTGCCTTCATATTACAATGGCAGAATTGCATAGTTCGCAAAATCTAAGATATTTACTGTTGGGTCCTTTACAGAAAACGTTTCCTGTCTCCTGGCAGTATGTATCCCATTACTATCTAATATTTAGAAAGATTTTTTTTAAAAAAAGAAAGAATTTAATATAAGTCATAAGAGGTTGATGTCCAGGAAATAGTCTAAATATTAGAAAATGCATATATATGTATGTATGTGTATATATCTCTATGTATGTATATATATATCTATATATGTATATAATGTGTTTAAACTTTGTCTATTGGTGCTATTTATATTTAAAATATGATTTTGCTACTATGATATTAAAATGAAACTTTTTAAAAGAAACTTCCCAAACACTTAGCTAATATTCTTTCAGGACACATAATTTTTTGAAGTTGAGATGCCTTTTTTTTCCCCTACCCTCAGAGAAAATAAACATATTTACCTGAGAATCTCTCTTGAGGTACAAACAATTCCAATATTGTATTTTACTAGACTAACAGGCATTTATACTTGGCTATATTTTGCATTTATATCATGGAGGCACTCACTTGATTTTATGTATCATTCAACATATATTAACATGATATTTCTATTCCCCATTTTATAATTTGGCACAGAATCAATTAATCAACTCATTATTCAAATTTGACTCAAACAAATTGCTTAATTGATTTAAATTGCTCTTTTACTTAGAGGTCATAAAATCTAAACTCTGTACATTCTTTGTAACTTTTTCTTCCCTTCATGTCTTATTTTAATTTTCAATTTTTACTTAAATTTTTTACTGACAGGAATTATCAAACACACTGAAGATTTTTTCAGGATGAGTATTAAAATACCTATTTTTGAATAGGCACACTTTTGTCTAAATGTCTTTACTGCAGCTTTAAAATTATGATCTTAAGCAAGGGGTATGTGTATATGTGTATGTTTACACTCTTACATTCAGTGTTTCTGAATTTACATGACATATTTTATTATAGATACCCACTTGAGCCTACTAAGATATGATTATTTTTCCCAGTTTGTAGATTGGTAACATACAATTGAGATTTTGTTTTTCCATTATTTATGAGAAATGGAATTTTTCTATAAAATCTCTTTAGTAAAAATCATAAATACCATTTTAAAGCACTTCATGTTTGCTAAGATTTTCTAGTTGAATTTAGTTCTTATTCTAACCAAAGTTTTTAAAGATCCTTTGATATCTGTAATTGATGTGTTTTGAGGAAGCACCTGTTATAAACAGCATTAATCTCATTTTGTCTCATTTTTCCTTATTATCTCAGTTTCTCACCTCCTTACATTTTTTTTTCTCAAATGATTTCAGTAATCATTTGTGCCTTTACTGGCATGGTATGTTTTCAGGAGTATTATTCCAAGTGCCTCTGTCTTGATCCAAGTTCTAGAAAATTCAACGTCAAAAAATCTTGATAACTGCATCCACTTGTATGCTGGAGCAACCTGCTTTAGTTTAACACATGGGGTGATTTTCTGATAATTCTAAATGCAGTTGTAAAATTGTATTTGAACCCAATTAGACTTACAACCTTTTTCCAGTAAATAAATCAAATCTTGATGAATTAATTACAAGCCACAATTCTTATAATATTACTATTGTCATATTTATGTGCTGTCAAATATATTCTCCTAAACATACATGTACCAGAAAATGTTTTCTGTTTAATGAAGATTTGTTGTCTCTGTTTAAATTCACTTACATTTTATTCAGATTTAAATTATTTTACAGATTTAATAATCATGATTTTATTCACCAAATTGCATTCTTAAAATAAATCTAAAAAATAATATGATATTTAATTTGTACGTACTACCTTGAATGAAAGTAATCTTTCAGCCTAGTATTTCTTTTCTTTTTTTATACATCCTGTAAGTAGGGATAAGAAATAAGAACTGAACATTAATTTTATGGATTTTTTTCTACTCGATAGGTGCTATGGATATAGAGGAGAGAAATCGCCAAATGAAAATTAACAAATACAAACAGGTAGCCGGATCAGATCCCAGACTGGAACAAGATTACCATTCAAAGGCAAGACATTTTTCTTTTTAAAAGTTGTGAAATAATCAATTAGTCATATGAAACCGTTAGATTCTCATAAGCTGCTAAATGCAGATTAGTCAAACATAAACATATAATCCAATGGCCCCATGATATTATTAAATGCTAAAATTTTTATGTGTTTATATACCAACTTCTAGGTATAGATTTGTGTTAATGTAAAAGAATCATTATATATTATAAGAGATTAAGGAAATGAAACTAATAAATGATGTGAAGAGCAAATTTTTTAGAATTTTTTGTTTTATAAAACCTGTAAAGGCCCTAGCACCCTCAAAAAATGCTTAAGAAAAACCTCAATTATCATCCCACGGTTTTCCTACATATAGAATTTTTTATTTTATAGTATTTTAATTCAATCTAGTTTATTAATACGTTATTGGAACAAAATACATACTCGTGAGGTGTTGTAAGGTGTTTGTAAGTTTTTTAGTGAGAATCTTTGAACCACTTTCTGGTAGTAAATTCAGGTGTGAAGTCTACTAGTGTAGAAAAAACTGTTTCATTGTTCTTGCCCTTCATTGCCTTTGTATTTTCAAAACATTTTAGGTTCATCATATTATTCATGGCCAAAGTCGTGAAAAGACTTCGTTATGATGTACCTATTTAAGATTTAACAAAAAAATGAAAATAACAAAACTTATTCATAACATTTAGTTAATATGTGTCTAATCATTGCAGTCATGTAATATTTGTAGTCCCTGTACCTATGTGTTAGAGAAAAGCAGTTACAATTTTTATATACTCAGGTCTATTTTATCCTTACCTTGTAAACCTCCCGTTTCTCTCAGTTATGCCCCATTCTTCAGTAAAGGCAAGATGTATAAGTAAAGCGTAACTGTCTACGCTGGATAGGCGTATGCAGTAGGCAGCGTAGGTTTTCAGTCTCTCCATTATATGACCTAGAGGAGGCAGAGATTCTTACGTCAGCATTCTCTTTCAAACCACCGGTCTGTTCCCCAAATTACATGAATCCTGCCTGATGTGGTGAATACAGGATTGTTCATCACAGGGTTCTGCTGTCCTGGAACTGGCCCAGGCCTAAAGCCAAGAGAAAGGTAAATTTAAGACAAATAAAAAATAGCCTTGCCTTCATGTAGCAGGTTCTAAACTTCTAGAAATTTTTCTCTAAAGTGAAAATATGAATAGCTTCAAATAGGTTCAGTGACTTTCACAGAAAATAGATTTGTAATGATACAGTATTTTGGATACATCTCTAATCTTTTGAGCTTGATGTCAGGAATGAGACCTGTGCCTTCCCAGGTACTGTTTTGATGTTTCTGCCTAAGGCTGAGTAGAGAGACCTGATCTTTTGTGGCATCTGCTATGCTCTAATCTCTCGTGTATTCATTTTATATATCCACAGACCAAGGCACAAAGTCCTAATAGAATAGGATATGAAAGCTCCTATAAACTAACACAAGTTTATTTTATGTCCCACTGTACTTCAGGGAGGAATGTAGATGACTGTTTAAAATACATGTAATATTCTCAGTAATACTGTCAATGAAGAAATGAGTATCAAGGGAAAATGAAGTCAAGACAAAACAGGATAATGCTAGAAGCAAAGTTTGTGAACAAAACGCATAGTATGAGTCTTATAAACCTGCTACAGGTGGAGCATATATTTTGACCATAAGCTTCCTAACAAACAGCAAAGGCAGAAAGGGAAACGGGGTCACCTGTATGATTTACATTGTTCATGCAATAAAAACAAGTTCCTTAGAAGCAATACTAATGAGTCTTGTTACGGATGCCTGGCAGAAATTTACCAAAGGAATACTATAGGCATGGCTCAATTTTTTTTTTAAGAAAAATAAGTTTTGATTACATTCCAATTCATAAATTAAAGAATGCTTGAGTATTCAAAGTTTCGTATCTGACTCCAATTATTTTAGATTAGAAAAAAATTTAAGTCTTGGCAATGGACTAGTTATGCTAAGCAGTATGATTTCCTAGGTATTCTAAGGCAGCGATTTTCAAAGTGTAGCCCCAGACCATTACCTGAGGACTTGTGGAAGTGCAATTCTCTGGCCCCTTCCAGGCCTATTTAATTGAAACTCTAGGAGTGAGGTCCCTGTGTTTTAACAAGCCTCCCAGGTGATTCTAGTGTGGACTGCAGTTTGAGAACTACTGGTCCAAGGTGAGCTGTACGTACAATTTGCTTCTAGGCAACTGAAAGAATTGACTTTCTCTATTAGGAAGCCAGTGATGAATGATGTCATTTAACAATGGAGACTTTCTTTCGAGAATAAGTCATCTGACTCCTTGACAAGTCCTCTCATAGTTTCTAACAAATCCTGTCTCTTATAATTGCATTTTCTATTCCTGGAGTTATGCACTCAACCTAACCAAGGATGAGATCCAGTCATTAAGTACAACTTTTTAAAAAGGTCTAAAACCCGACTCTGTTTTGTTCCACGGCAAATTTCCTGATGTGGAACTATCTTTGCTGGGTCATGTATCTGCTTGTCATCCCTACTTTGATTTTCCTCTCTCATGGATCAAAAAGAAAATTACAGAGTATTCTTTTTCAGTCAAGGGCATATATAGATTTAGTCATTATTAATTTCCATACTAACAATTCTTTAGATTAAAATTTTCAACAGCATTCATCTCTAATTTGGGATATTTACCTTACATTTCCATTCTTTTCTTTCTTGTTTGATAGGAAGTGCCAACTAAAGACTCACTATTGAGCTATGTGCTTTAGTACATTAGCTCTAATTCTTAAAAAAAATCATTTACTAGGTGAGGGCACTAAGAAACATAGAAACATAGAAAGGTTAGGTGATCTCCCCAAGTTCACATTAAATCATGGAAAATATTATTTGTAGCTAATCTGGTTTTCAATTTTGAGATAACTGTGATTAAATCCAAAGCCTCAAACATATGGAGCATATGCTGTACTTCTGAGCTGTATTCCTGAAATTATAGTGATGCTATTAAGAAGCTTTGGTGGAATCTAATTGTCAGTGAAGATCTTTTTTAAACTACACATTCCACATTTTAAAGGGTATTGCCTCCTTGAATTTCTCAAGCGTTCTGCTCTGATAGTTGTAAACAATTCTTACTAATTTTTAAAATATCTCCTTAGTAACTCGCTTTGAAAGTATCTATAGAGCAATGCCTATTAAGTTACTGTCTTTCTAAAGATATTTTAAATATATTAGGAAATTTTTAAGCAGACAGTCTATATTTAATAAAAGCATCAAAATCTATGAGCAGATAGGATTCTTCTTTAATCAGGCAATGATTTCTTGGGGGTTTTCCCTCAAAATAGAATTTAACTATGTAGCCAGTGCACCCTTTCATGCTTAATGCATTTTCTTTATCCCAGCTTAAATGTGATTGATCTATTCTACCTGCAGCAGAAATTTAAGGATCAACTTAAAACCAATGTTCTCTGCTCCCCATTGGTTCAGAAAAATGTGATTTGTCTGTTAAATTTAACAATGTGAATTATAGCTCAGCACAGGCCAGCTACCCTTCCATGAGTTATATAATTACAATAATTAGCAATAATTGATAAACAATGTATATACTTTATGAAAATGACTATGGAGAATTTGATAATATTTACTTAAATAAATGGTGTTTGTTTTTAAAATTAGCCATATTTAATGTTTTTAAATGAACCCAGAGGCTATTTTTCAAAAGACTTCAACAGAGAAGCTACACAGTTTATTGCTACAATATTTGTTTGGAACTCAAAGCTTACTTCTCTGTAGAAAAATGTTCTTTTTGGGTGGTAATGTCCCACAAAAATATCTTACCCCTGTTATAGCATTTGTATTATAATCTATTTTCTTATTTTTCTCTCTAGAATTAAATAATATGGCCTGTAAATTGCCTAGAACTTTTCAAATGTGAACCAGAAATTCATGTTAAGCCACTTAACCTGTCATCTAATAGACTGAGTTAGTGTTCTGGGGGCAGAGAACAATGCAACACAAGGAAGGAAAAGAAAGTTTTCCTCCATCCTTTGTGCATGCCTGAGCCTAGGTACTTGTCACCTTTCCTACCAAGCTTCTTGTCTTTTAAGGATCATTCACTGATTTCAAAGAGACATATTAAGAGGAAAACAATCCAACTAAAGTAGTTTACATTATAATAGGAACTGTATGACACAGAGATAGTTTCATTTTAAAAAAAATAAGCTCTGTAAATACAAACAAAGCTCACACATTGGCGTTGTAGACAATATCAATGTAAGAAAATTCAGACAGTTAAATACAAAGTATTTTTGGCAAGTAGATCACCATTGCTGATTAAGCTCTTCCCTTTACTCGAACTTTTCTCTTCTTAACAAGAAGAGTACACATTCAAGGCCGGCCTTAAGTGTTTTCGGTTGATTTTCGAGACAGGCAGCAGGGACACCAGAAGTAGGGAGACAGGTTGGGGCTGGTTAGGAGTGGCAGAAATGGGCTGTTTATAAGTTTGATGTTTATAAGTCAGGAGTACTTTCAGACTCTAGTCACCAACGCGTGGCAGCAGTACTTGAGTTTAGTGCAGGAGATGAGAACGCAGCCTGGAGCCAGGCAGACTCTACTGGGGTGACTTTGGGTAGCTTAACCTCATAGTCTCAGTTTCTTTATTTTACTGAACAGGGTTTTGAGATCTATTTCATATGGTGATGAGTAGGAGAAAATGAGATAATGTAAAATGCTTACTAAATGTTGCAGATAACATTTATTATTATTTTTATAATAACAGCGAATGCGTCTATAAGAACCAGAAATGAGTATGACAAGGTTGAAAAGAAATAGTAAAGAAATAATTGAGCTAATGAAAGGAATTTTAGTGTAACTCAGCTATTATTGAGTGTTCCCTTTATTCTCAGATAAAGAGATTGAAGCAGCAGAGGTCCAAAAGGAAAAATCAAATTTAGGGGGAAAGAATTTATGAATCTTCAAAAGATATGGAGATAAAAATAAACAGAGCCTAGAACATAACAAATGATAAGAAAT